AGAGAGAGAGAGAGAGAGAGAGAGAGAGAGAGAGAGAGAGAGAGAGAGAGAGAGAGAGAGAGAGAGAGAGAGAGAGAGAGAGAGATTTGTGTATTTGTCTATAGACGTTATATACTGAGAATCGGCTTGAGGAGGACGAGAGTAGAGTAGCGGAAGAGGAGGTGTGGAGTTGGAGGCGTGGAGAGGGATGGCGCCATTACAACCGTCTCCTCCTTCTGGTCAGGTTAAGGATGAGAGCGCCATGCTTGCCGCCGAAGAAGATCTGATTACTGTGCGTCGCGTGGGCGGCATGGATGGTGTCTCCCTTGTGACTATGAATCGCCCTGGCACGATGAACGCTCTGACAAAGCAGATGAGGAGCGATCTCGCCCGTGCGTTTCGGTCGTTACGCGAGGATCTGACAGTGCGCGCCGTGATTGTGACGGGATCGGGACGCGCTTTTTGCTCTGGCCTCGACCCGTCCTTCGCCGAGGAGGTGGTGAGAGACTTGGCGGCAGGCTTGAGCGACGTCGATGAAGATCCCGTCGCCCAGATGGACATGTGCGGCTTTCCGATCATCGGGGCAATCAACGGTCCTGTTTTCTCTGCCGGCCTGGAAATCGCTCTGGCGTGCGACATTCTCGTGGCGAGTGCCCAGGCGCGCTTCGCTGACACTTCCTGCAAGCTGGGGGTCTCCCCTGGGGGCGGCATTTCTCAGAAATTACCCCGCTTGATTGGCCCCAGCCGCGCGAGAGAGTTCTCGCTGACGTCAATGATGATCGACGGCGTGATGGCAGAGAGGTGGGGCCTCGTCAGCCGGGTCGTTCCCCCCGCTGACCTCTTGGATATGGCAAAGAAGGTGGCGGCAGCCATAGCCAGCAATCAGCAGAAGGTTGTAAGGCGGTACAAGTCCGTGCTCAACGACGGGTTGTCGCTCTCACTTTGCGAAGGGCTGAAGCTTGAACGGGAGCACGCGCGCGAATACGCCTCTGAATTGGGAGAGGAGGAACTCAAAGCCATTCGAATAAAACTCGACTCGTCATCGTTAACCAAGTTGTTCTCGTCAACAACAATACTGTGCGCTCTCTACTCACCCGACAACGATCTTCTCTCCTCCTCCTCCTCCTCCTCCTCCTCCTCCTCCTCCTCCAAGCCCTCCTGTGTTCATTGGCCGCCTGTCTTGTCGCTCGACTTTCCCGCTCCCGTTCCTGTGTGTTTCTCTCTTTCCCCTTGCGTTTCCTCCCGTCCTTCCTCCCTCTCTCTGCCCTCCTTCCCCTCCTTCCCAGGCGCCTTGCGCACTGAACCTCTGCTTGCTCTGTCTGTCTGTCAGTGTCTTGCACTCAGCTTGCAATCTAGTCATGATTGCGCAATCCGCTCTCGTGCATGCTATTCTCTCTCTCTCTCTCTCTCTCTCTCTCTCTCTCTCTCTCTCTCTCCCCCTCGATCTCCTCGCATTATGCTCCACCCCCAGTGATTTTTTATTTATTTACTCTTTTTTAAAACAAAGAGGGTGCCTTTTAACCCTTCACTAAATGCATGGACAAGTTTTTTTTTTTTTTGGTGTTTTTTAATCATGTGGGTCTACAATTCTGCCACGCGGGGCTGGGTTACACACCTATGTGATTAAAATCTGTGCTCGCTGGGTCCATTCGTCTGTACCAGACCGGAAACTTAGCTTGTGTACGTTCATGATCGGCGAGCTTGTGGTCGGGGCAAGTTCCATCCGTCCTGSGGCTCCGCCGGCGTTTTTTTTTTTTTTTTTTTACGCCGGCGTGTCCGTGTCTTCTCCTTTGGCATTCTCTTCACTAGGTAGTACCCGTCTTCCCCCGAGCACAAC